TCAGAGACTTGTGAACTTTTCATTTTAAGGGTTAAATACGATCACTTAAGACCCGCTGCGACTGTTGTGGGGGCGAATATAATTTTTTTTCGGAAAGCTCGAGGTATGGGAATGTCGTTCATACATAATTGGACAGAGGGAGCTGTACGAATGTCTCGTAAAAGCCGGAAAAAGTAGGTTCTCCTCGTCCCCGCCGCGAAGAGACACCCGTGGCTGAATGCACAAATTTTATATCGCTAATGCCAGTCTTAAATTTTGTTACGTTCGACCTAAAAAAAGTTGATGGAGATATAGAAGAGAGAGATTGTCGCGACGCGTCGCCGGAAAGGCGTCTCGGGGGGCCAACGCGGGCTTCCTCAGTCCTCGGGCGCGGTCCGTACGCCGAGAGAAAAGCCAGGGCTTCGTTATCGCGCAGAAAGCGAGGGCCGATCGATCGAGGGAAAAAAAATATGCCGTCGCGAAAACGACGTTTTCGCCGAAATAATGCGGGCTTTATAAAATAATCGGGGTCTGGCGAGAGACGCGAGATGCAGACCCTTTTTGAAAAGCTAATTTCGGCGTTAAAAAGTAAAAAATACGCCGCAAATATACGCCCGAGACACTCAGAAAGGACGAAACTTTCGCGTAAAAGCGGAAGGAAGTCCCGATCCCTCCCGGGAAAAAAGCCCTCGGTCGTAGAAATCGACCCCGAAACGCTCCCGATGGAAGGCGTTTCCGAGTATCTGCGTCTCACTTCCCCGCTAAAAGCCGCGGTCGGCCGCGCGGACACCCCGAAAAAGAAAAACCTAAAATTCACTGGGAAGAGGGCAAAAAATAGCCATCGAAATACGACGTTCGGATGAAGGCCGGCGGGGTGCTTCGCCCCCCGCGCCTCGCTCGCGGAGCCTTAGTTAGTGCAAAATAGCCCTTTTTCGGGGGCGGATGTGGGAGTGAGAGTAACCTACACGCTTTAATATATATGACTAGAAACGTAGGCAACACGGCTTCGCCGACTTGACGTTTCTCTCGGGCCTTCGGCCCTCGGGCGGCGCTGCGCGCCCCATGGGCTCCGCTTCGCGGAGCACTCTCTTGCGCGTATGTTTTTTAAATCATCACACCATCATCCACATTACCATCATCTACATCACCATGATCCACAGCACCATCGCATTATCTACATCACCATCATCTACATCACTATCATCCACATTGCCATCATCTACATGNAAAAATTCAGCGATAATTTAAAGGCGAAGCAGGTCGTGTGCCAGCTTCATATTTTGGGGCAAGGTGTTGTACATCAAGCACTAGCTCTCCTGTGAAAATCATCCCCTTGAAGTGGGGATTACACCTAGAAAAAAATTAAAAACCGGATTTTCCAAAATTCAGCGATCATTTAAAGGCGAAGCAGGTCGTGTGCCAGCTTCGTATTTTGGGGCAAGGTGTGGTACATCAAGCACTAGCTCTCCAGCGAAAATCATCCCCTTGGCTTGGGGATTAAACCTCGAAAAAAAATAAAAACCGGTTAGTTCAAAAATTCAGCAATAATTTAAAGGCCAAGCAGGTCGTGTGCCAGCTTCATATTCTGAGTCAAGCTGTCATACATCAAGTACTAGCTCTCCTGTGAAAATCATCCCCTTGGAGTGGGGATTACACATCGAAAAAAATTTAAAACCGGATTTTTCAAAAATTCAGCGACAATTTAAAGGCGAATTAGGTAGTGTGCCAGCTTCATATTTTGGGGCAAGGTGTAGTACATCAAGCACTAGCTCCCCTCTGAAAATCATCTCCTTGGCTTGGGGATTACACATCGAAAAAATAAAAAAACCGGATTTTTCAAAAATTCAGCAATAATTTAAAGGCGAAGCAGGTCGTGTGCCAGCTTCATATTTTGGGGTAAGGTGTGGTACATCAAGCACTAGCTCCCCAGTAAAAATCATCCCCTTGGCTTGGGGATTACACCTCGAAAAAATTAAAAAACCGGATTTTTGAAAAATTCTGCGATAATTTAAAGGCGAGGCAGGTCGTGTGCCAGCTTCATATTTTGGGGCAAGGTGTGGTACATCAAGCATTAGCTCCCCAGTGAAAATCATCCCCTTGGCTTGGGGATTACACCTCGAAAAAAATTAAAAACCGGATTTTTCAAAAATTCAGCGATAATTTAAAGGCGAAGCAGGNTAATTGCAGCACCATCATCTACAGCACCGTCATCTACATTACCATCATTTACATCGTCATCATCAACATCACCATAATCTACATCGCTATTATCTACATCACCATCATCTAGATCTCCATCGTCAACATCTACATCGTCATCATCTACATCGCTCATCTATATCGCCATCATCTACATCACCATAATTTACACCACCATCATCTACATCATCTACATCTACATCGCCATGGTCTACATAACCATCATCTACATCGCCAGCATCTACATCATCTACATCGCCATCATCTACGTCACCATCACCTACATCGGCATCATCTTCATCACAACCATATACACATCATCATCTACATCGCCACCATCCACATCACCATAATCTACATCACCGTCATCTACCTGACCATCATTTACATCGCCATTATCTACATTACCATCATCTACTACAGCAACATCTATATCACCATCATGTACATCACCATCATCTACATTACCATCATCTACATCGCCATAATCTACATTGTCATCATCTACGCCACCATCATCTACGTCACCATCATCTACATCACCATCATCTACATCGCCATCATCTACATTACCATTATGTACATCATCTACATCACCACCATCTACATTATTATCACCGTTCAAATGTGGGTCGATTTTGTGAAACATTCTGTGTAGCAAGTTTTAAAAAAGCATCTGGTTACTACATAAAAAATGTTTCATGAACAGGCTTCATTAAATAAAGTAGAAGAAATGAATATGATAAGGAATACTCCACGGGGTCTGTCCTGGATCAATTTTATAGAACATACAGTATATTGTAAAGCTTCAAAAAACATATTATAAAATTGTTACCTCAAAAAATAAAGTAGAATGAAATAAAAAGAATATGAATACGTTTGAACACTTGCAACTCCACCATCTACATTATTATCACCATTCAAATGTGGGTCGATTTTGTGAAACATTCTGTGTAGCAAGTTTTAAAATAGCATCTGGTTACTAAATAAAAAATTTTTCATGAATAGGCTTCACTAAATAAAGTAGAAGAAATGAATTTGATAAGGAATAATCCACAGGGTCTGTCCTGGATCAATTTTATAGAACATACAGTATATTGTAAAGCTTCAAAAAACATATAAAATAGTTACCTCAAAAAATAAAGTAGAATGAAGTAAAAAGAATATGAATACGTTTGAACACTTGCAACTCTGACCTGGATCAATTTTGTTGGAACATTCGATATAAAAATTATCAAAAAAGCATCGTGTTGGCAAATACAAAATTTTTCATCAATGAACTTTACTAAAGAAAGTAGAAAAAGATCAAAAGGGTAAAAAAAATCTGGTCTGCCGCCTTTTTGTTTTGGTTTCAATTCTGATGTAGATCATTTTGTACATCCAGTATAAACTTCCAAAAGGGTATCTAGTTAGTAAATATAAAATTTTTCATCCAAAGACTTCAGTACGTAGGTAAGTCAGAAATGGGGAAAAATAAGTTAAGTTTCACTCTCCTAATTCTGAAGTATCTTGTTATAAATAGACAATTTTTCATTCAAAGATTTCAGTACGTAGGTAAGGCAGAAATGGGAAAAAAATAAGTTTCACTTTCTCATAATTTTGANGTGTCATACATCAAGCACTAGCTCTCCTGTGAAAATCATCCCCTTGGAGTGGGGATTACACCTCGAAAAAAATTAAAAACCGGATTTTTCAAAAATTCAGCGATAAATTTAAGGGCCAAGCAGGTAGTGTGCCAGCTTCATATTTTGAAGCAAGGTTTCATACATCAAGCACTAGCTCCCCAGTGAAAATCAGCCCCTTGGCTTAGGGATTACACCCCGAAAAAAAATAAAAACCGGATTTTTCAAAAATTCAGCGGTAATTTAAAGGCCAAGCAGGTCGTATGCCAGCTTCATATTTTGGGGCAAGGTGTCACACATCAAGCACTAGCTCTCCTGTGAAAATCATCTCCTTGGAGTGGGGATTACAACTCGAAAAAAATTAAAATCCGGATTTTTAAAAAATTCAGCGATAATTTAAAGGCCAAGCAGGTCGTGTGCCAGCTTCATATTTTGGAGCAAGGTGTGGTACATCAAGCACTAGCACCCCAGTGAAAATTATCCCCTTGGAGTGGGGATTACACCTCGAAAAAAATTAAAAACCGGATTTTTCAAAAATTCAGCGATAATTTAAATGCGAAGCAGGTCGTGTGCCAGCTTCATATTTTGGGGCAAGGTGTGGTACATCAAGCACTAGCTCCCCAGTGAAAATCATCCTCTTGGCTTGGGGATTACACCCCGAAAAACAATAAAAACCGGATTTTTCAAAAATTCAGCGATAATTTAAAGCCCAAGCAGGTCGTGTGCCAGCTTCATATTTTGGGGCAAGGTGTGGTACATCAAGAACTAGCTCCCCAGTGAAAATCATCCCCTTGGAGTGGGGATTACACCTCGAAAAAAATTAAAAACCGGATTTTTCAAAAATTCAGCGATAATTTAAAGGCGAAGCAGCAGTGGAACTCTGTGCATTATAGAATTCTATTTATCGCTCCAAAGAGTTAGGAGTGGCACTCCGTATACGATTTCTATTACATCCCCCCCTATCTTCTCACCTCATGTTTATCGCTAAGTAGGCGATATGTGTTTAGCTGTCGATTAAAGGATGCGAGATGGAACTACTAATGAGTAAGAGAAATATATTATGTTTAGACGTTAGACCACAAACTAACAATGGAACATGGAACATAAGAAGAACGAGAGCGGTTAATTTCTTACTCTTAACCTAAATTTTCTATGGTCTTAACCACAAAATATGTTAGAGGATTGGCGATAGACTTTTGAAATACAAATGTGTTTTTAAGAATCGCGTTAACGTCTGTTATCTAACGTATTATTATATTCTGCTTTTATCTCGTAATTAAATCGTTAAATATGAGAGTCAATCCAGAACACTGGAATCTTTTTTTACAAATGGCTGAAATAAATCCGGAACTGATAACTAATAAGTTTAATGGTGTGCAAGGTAAGGCCCAAGGAAATGCTTTATGGCAGACAGCAGCAGAAAAACTAAACTCATTAGGATATGGACAGAAGTCAGTACTTGAATGGCGAAAAGTACGTAATTATATAAATAAATTATGTTGTATTTAATTAACACATTTACAGGCTGTAACAGATTGGAAGTCGAAAGTAAAAGTTAAAGCATAAAAAATTCGATGTCACCAAGTGCAAACTGGTGGTGGTGGTATTATTTGCACTCCATTATCCACAATTGAAGAAAAACTACTAAGCATAATAGGGAAAAAAGCTTTGGAGGGAAATCCAGAAGTTGTAGAACTAGGACAGGTAAATGTATATATTTTATTGTAATTTTTTTTATTATATGGTAATTGCTTGTAGAATTTGCAAATTTCGACTCCATGTACCTCGGTTTCGGAAACTACAACAGAATCCACTTTTATTATTAACAAAGATACTGATCATACATATATAAGTAAGCAGTCATTGATAATAAATAAAGACAAATTCAACAGAAATCAATTAGATAATAGTGACAAAGGAAATAATTCTAAACATAAGCGTTGTAAAGTAAGTAGTATACATGGTATGTCTAAAAACTTACAGAACATGAGCCAACAAACAATTCATATCCTTGAAAAGATAGACGTAAATTTGGAAAAAATTTGTAGAAATTTGGACAGAATTGCAGACTCGACAGAAGACTAAAGACTTAACTAAAGACTTAACTAAAATTTTGAAAGAGAATAAATAATTAACTGTGATTTATNACATCATGTACATCACCACCATCTACATTATTATCACCATTCAAATGTGGGTCGATTTTGTGAAACATTCTGTGTAGCAAGTTTTAAAATAGCATCTGGTTACTAAATAAAAAATTTTTCATGAATAGGCTTCACTAAATAAAGTAGAAGAAATGAATTTGATAAGGAATAATCCACAGGGTCTGTCCTGGATCAATTTTATAGAACATACAGTATATTGTAAAGCTTCAAAAAACATATAAAATAGTTACCTCAAAAAATAAAGTAGAATGAAGTAAAAAGAATATGAATACGTTTGAACACTTGCAACTCTGACCTGGATCAATTTTGTTGGAACATTCGATATAAAAATTATCAAAAAAGCATCGTGTTGGCAAATACAAAATTTTTCATCAATGAACTTTACTAAAGAAAGTAGAAAAAGATCAAAAGGGTAAAAAAAATCTGGTCTGCCGCCTTTTTGTTTTGGTTTCAATTCTGATGTAGATCATTTTGTACATCCAGTATAAACTTCCAAAAGGGTATCTAGTTAGTAAATATAAAATTTTTCATCCAAAGACTTCAGTACGTAGGTAAGTCAGAAATGGGGAAAAATAAGTTAAGTTTCACTCTCCTAATTCTGAAGTATCTTGTTATAAATAGACAATTTTTCATTCAAATATTTCAGTACGTAGGTAAGGCAGAAATGGGAAAAAAAATAAGTTTCACTTTCTCATAATTTTGAAATGGGACATCCAGTATAAACTTCCAATAAGGTATCTGGTTAGTAATTATACAATTTTTCATTAAAAGCCTTTAGTAGGTAAGTAAAAATAAAGTTAAAAGAGAAAGGAAAATTTTGCCTGTTAATCAGACCTGGCTCAATTTTATAGAACATTCAGTATATGGATTTTTCAAAAAGCGAATGGTCAGTTTTCTTCAAAACGTTTCAGTGGAGAAAATAAAAAAGTAAAAAGAATAGAGAGCCTAGTCCACCTGTGTCAGCTTTATAAAACATCCAGTACAAAACATCTGGTTAATAAGATATGATTTGTCATAAAAATATTGCCATCAATAAATTTCTGAAATATACAGAAGCCTCTGTACCGATAATTCTGACCTGGGTCAATTTATGTAGAACATCCAGTATATGGATTTTCAAAGAAAACGGTTGGACTATAGCTCTTGGGTACCTGGCATACCTCCGTCAAAAATTAATATAAAAATCTGAAATTTTAGGGGTGTACTCTAGATGGGGAGACCTAAGAGCGCATGTAATTTCAACTCACTCCTTCCACCCTAGGGGGTGCAGAGGGGGTGAGGGGTGTTTTTTTGGACGTACCCTATTTATTTTGCGATTTTCAGATTCTACGCGTAAAACTACCCCTGGAAATGCGTTCTTGCCGAATTCGCACAAAAACCAAAATCCACCTCGTATGGACTTTGTCGTTTTTTCGATGACTATAGTTCTTGGGTACCTGGGCATATCTAAATGATTATAAAAATCTGAAATTTGAGGGGTGTATACTATAGGCGGGGAGACCTAAAAGCGAACGTAATTTCAACTCACCCCTTCCACCCTAGGAGGTGCGGAGGGGGTGAGGGGTGGTTTTTAGACGTATCCGCAAGAACGCGTTTCCGAGGGTAGTTTTACGTGTACAATCCGAAAATCGCAAAAGAATTAGGGTACGTCTAAAAAAAACACCCCTCACCCCTTCCGCACCCCCTAGGGTGGAAGGGGTGAGTTGAAATTACGTGCGCTCTTAGGTCTCCCCATCTAGAGTACACTCCTAAAATTTCAGATTTTTATATTAATTTTTGACGGAGATATGCCAGGTACCCAAGAGCTATGGTCCAACCCTTGAATGGCGAAAAGTACGTAAATATATAAATAAATCATGTTGTATTTAATTAACACATTTACAGGCTGTAACAGATTGGAAGTCGAAAGTAAAAGTTAAAGCATCAAAAATTCGATGTGACCAAGTGCAAACTGGTGGTGGTATTATTTGCACTCCATTATCCACAATTGAAGAAAAACTACTAAGCATAATGGGGGAAAAAGCTATGGAGGGAGATCCAGATGTTGTAGAACTAGGACAGGTAAATGTATATATTTTATTGTAATTTTTTTATTATATGGTAATTGCTTGTAGAATTTGCAAATTTCGACTCCATGTACCTCGGTTTCGGAAACTACAACAGAATCCACTTTTATTATTAACAAAGATACTGATCATACATATATAAGTAAGCAGTCATTGATAGTAAATAAAGACAAATTCAACAGAAATCAATTAGATAATAGTGACAAAGGAAATAATTCTAAACGTAAGCGTTGTAAAGTAAGTAGTATACATGGTATGTCTAAAAACTTTGGACTAAAAAACTAAAGAATTTGGACAGAATTGCAGACTCGATGGAAGATTTAACTAAAATTTTGAAAGAGAATAAATAATTAAGTGCGATTTATATGGATGCTTTATTTTTATTATATACTCATAACTATAATACATTTGTTTTATTTTTATATTATTTGTCTTGTAGTAACTTATTTAACTTATTTATGTTTGCATTATAGNATTGCTTATAGATTTCTTTTTCTTTAACATTAATCCGGACCAAAGAGGTGTTAAGGGAAGGTATTTTTCTAAAATTACCTTAAAAAATGTTGAATTATAGAAAGGATTTTCTTTTTGGCCATCATCTGTAAGTTCTATATTTTCTATTACGCAGCAGAATCTTTTATAATACGGACTAAGTCTGAAGAACGCAACTGTTTCTGAAGATTCGTTGCCATTAACGTCTGAGGGTTGGGAACATTCTCCAGCAATGCTACTTCCTATATTGGTATCGTGCATATGGGTATTAGTTAAAAATATTTTTAGAAATTGGAGGGCATTGTCAGTTTGATTGTTGTTTGTCTTTGAGTTTAAAAGTATGTACATATGTTCCACAAAAGTATCGAGATTTTGGAGATTGTTCAATAAAACTGACGTCGCCATCATATCTTTAAGGCACTTCGATTGCTCCTTGTTTGTAGTGGATGTATCTACATCCTTGCAGACCATCTTAATGAAATGGGCACAACATAAATGTATACATGTCAGAGAATTATCTTCCAGAGGGATATTGTTCTCGTTGAAATGGTAACATTTTTGAAGGTACTCTAACAGGGTGCACCTGTTAAAGGCTTTGGCTATTGCATGTAAGTTTGCAAATGAAAAATCCGTAACGACTCCCGAGAAAGCAGGCCAACAATTATGCTTTTCGCAGAAATATCTAAAATCATGGAGCAATTTAAATATTGAATTCGAATCGTGCACGGATGAGATCATTGAAAAAATAGGATATATTCTTCTAGTTTTTTCGATGGATACTACGGCCGTGTAGAAGTATATTCTCCGTTTGTAAGGTAAAGGATTTCTAACTATACCCCCAGTGGCGTCGAAAAATATTAGTGGTAAATCGTCTTCATATCTTAGTGACTTGAGAACTTCAACTTGTTCCAAACTATATAATTTTACATTGAATGGTATGCTAACTTCTTTTATAAATTCGGGATGATCTATTTGCATCATTAAAATATCTAGAAGGTCATTTTTGTGACGATCTAATTGCGACATAGATTCCGACCTTATCTTCCTTATGACCTCGTCAGATTTTATGTTTTGTAAACACTTGCCTTCTTGTAGAATCGTTTGGTTAGCACTAATTAATGTACGTTTTTTATAATTCAAAGGCTTCTCCTGAAATATTTTCTTCTTTATTATTGATCTTTCGATACCTTTCACATAACTTGTTAAGAAATTGGAATGACTATAATTTATAGAAGAACTAAAAACACTTACTTTTCTATTATGAATAGAAATTTTAAATTTTTTACAATTACGGAATCTATGTCGCAATTAGATCTCCACTCCAATAAATCATCCCGAATTTACATATAAAAGAAGTTAGCATACCATTCAATGTAAAACTATATAATTTGGAACAAGTCAAGTCACTAAGATATGAAGACGATTAACCACTAATATTTTTCGACGCCACTGGGGGTATAGTTAGAAATCCTTTACACGGCCGAAGTATCGATCGAAAAAGCTAAAAGAATATATCCTATTTTTTCAATAACCTCATCCGTGCACGATTCGAATTTAATATTTAAATTGCTGGCATAATTGTTGGCCTGCTTTTTCGGGAGTCGTTACGGATTTTTCATTTGCAAACTTACATGCAATAGCCAAAGGTGCACCCTGTTAGAGTACCTTCAAAAATGTTGCGACCATTTCATTAAGATGGTCTGCAAGGAAGTAAATATATCCACTACAAACAAAGAGCAATCGAAGTGCCTTAAAGATATGATGGCGACGTCAGTTTTATTGAACAATCACCAAAATTTGAATGCTTTTGTGGAACATATGTACATACTTTTAAACTCAAAGCCAAACAACAATCAAACTAACTATACCCTTCAATTTCTAAAAATATTTTTAACTAATACCCATATGCACGATACCAATATAGGAAGTAGCATTGCTGGAGATTGTTCCCAACCTTCAGACGTTAGTGGCAACGAATCTTTAAAAACAGTTGCGTTCTTCAGACTTAGTCCGTCGTATAAGAAATTCTGTTGCGTAATAGTAATTCTATAATTCAACATTTTTTAAGGTAATTTTAGAAAAGTACCTTCCCTTAACACCTCTTTGGTCAGGGGAGCTAGTGCTTGATGTACCACACCTTGCCCCAAAATACGAAGCTGGCACACGACCTGCTTCGCTTTTAAATTATCGCTGAATTTTTGAAAAATCCGGTTTTTAATTTTTTTTCGAGGTGTAATCCTCAAGCCAAGGGCATAATTTTCACAGGGGAGCTAGTGCTTGATGTATGACACCTTGCCTCAAAATATGAAGCTGGCACACTACTTGCTTGGCCCTTAAATTTATCGCTGAATTTTTGAAAAATTCGGTTTTTAATTTTTTTCGAGGTGTAATCCCCAGTCCAAGGGGATGATTTTCACAGGAGAGCTAGTACTTGATGTATGACAGTTTGCCTCAAAATATGAAGCTGGCACACGACCTGCTTGGCCTTTAAATTATTGCTGAATTTTTGAAAAATCCGGTTTTTATTTTTTTTTCTAGATGTAATCCCTGAGCCAAGGGGATGATTTTCACTGGGGAGCAAGTGCTTGATGTACCACACCTTGCCCCAAAATATGAAGCTGGCACACTACTTGCTTCGCCTTTAAACTATCGCTGAATTTTTGAAAAATCCGGTTTTTTATTTTTTTCGAGGTGTAATCCCCAAGCCAAGGGGATGATTTTCACTGGGGAGCTGGTGCTTGATGTATGAAACCTTGCTTCAAAATATGAAGCTGGCACACTACCTGCTTGGCCCTTAAATTTATTGCTGAATTTTTGAAAAATCCGGTTTTTATTTTTTTCGAGGTGTAATCCCCAAGCCAAGGGGATGATTTTCACTGGGAAGCTAGTGCTTGATGTACCACACATTGCCCCAAAATATGAAGCTGGCACTTTCTTCGATGCTCTGGCTCCATTTTGGAAATTTGATGGGGGATGTTCTTAAAACCCTACCCTGCTTCTCTTAAGGACCTCCCTGTGCCGGTGGTGCGCACAGCAAAGTCCTTAACGCGAAACGCGAGCGCGAATCTTCACCACCTCATCAGTTTCCGGAAACTGGCCGCACGTAAGCCCGGTTTACGACGTGCCAGTCGAGCACGAAGCTATATTTCACGGGTGACCGATGGTCGTCTTTTTCTTGCTTGGGCCTGGTCGCTTCCTCGAGGGCGGCTTACTATCGCACCCTGTCGTTAGAACGCTGGCTCGGTCTTGTTGCTTCTAGGGCTTAGAGCAGACGCCGGCGTCAAACCCAGTGCAAAGCCACTTGGTGAGTTGCTCCTGTTCTTGCTTCTGTGGGGGCCAAGAGACCGTAAATCCTTGCAGGCGCTCGGCAACGGTCAATTAGTTCCACTGATGGTAAATCTCTCGTTGAGGCACGCGATTGCCACGGCGGAAAAGTTTATAGTCCGCAATGAAAATCACAGACTGAATTCTTTAGTTTTTTTTAATTCGCAATGAAAATTGCGAATGTCGTAGATAGACTGTTGTCAACGAATTCTTATTGTGAGTCAATTGCTGGTCGGTGCTCAGACAACTGACTCTTGGAATACCCTGTATATCACGTAGCGAATGAATTTAATTATAAATTATCGCGACCTCAGTGGCGAGTAATTTAGAAAATACGAGAATTTAGGACGCAGAAATTATGTAGCGCATGCGGCAAATTACATGCGAGAACCCTCACGGGGTTTAATGCAATGCAAAAGGCTTAAATGAATAATTTTCTCACGGCAAAATAGCTCAGTTCGAACTTTGCGAGTTCGTCACTTTCGTAGAAAGCTAAGTTAGGATGCACAACCTCACGGGGTTGNCGTGAGTGCAATCAATAGCACCAATGACTCCAGGGAATCCAGTCTTTTCCATGAACCTAGCTTTCAGGTTGTTTTTCTCTTCATTAGTTGTTGGAAAATGTATCCACTGATTCCCAAGTTCAGTAATAATGGATTCATGCACTGCACATGCACCACTTGCTGCGATAATGAAATATTATAACTCTGACCAATAATTCTCTGAAAAGGTCCAGTTGCAAAAAAACAATAAAGCTGTGAAAAACTTTAAGTGGGCAGGAACAGCTACGGGATTGTTGGTCACATCGATCAAAGGGAGAATTCTGTTTAGCACATATTGTGCCATATCCTTTGTCAGCCTGAATAGCTGTTTGAAATAAATATCACTCAAATTAAAGGGATCGCATCTCTCACGCATTAAACGCCTTTCTCTATTAAATTCCCGAATCTGTTCCAATCGTTCTTCCTCGTCCGCGGCTAATATATTAAGAACATTATAAGGTAACATATTTAAAATTTGAGAAATAAATTCCAACTATTAAATAATGTGGCTTTATATGTGACCACATTAAACCACAGATGTACAGGGTGATCGAGAATGATTGACCGTGCCGCCTCATACTGATTTTTGATGTGCGGCGTACCAGTTTTTGATACCAATACTAGAATCATGAGCGCAGGTTGAGGGATTTTAATGGTAAACAAATAATTACGTTCAAACGTCAAATAAATTAGGTTACTGTCAAAATGGAAATTCATAATAAAAATATCAATTATTTAACAAAAATCAAAGTTATTTCACAAATTAAGCAATACTGATGGACCAATAAATGTTATTATTGTTATTATTATTAAAGAGGATGACAGAATCAAATGTAGGTTTAGCCTAACTTTTCCAAAATTCTTA